CTCTCTCTCTCTCTCTCTCTCTCTCTCTCCGCACGTGCCCTCTGCACGTGCGTCACATTGGTATCGGAGTGGGTTTCGAACCTCTGCTCCCTCCCTCCCTCCCTCTCTCGCTATCCCGCCATCACGGATAGCTATCTCCAAGCTTGTTTTTGCAGCTGCACGTGGTCCATCAATGCGACCACGTACGTTCTTCATCCAAGCTGGCGCCTTTCTCCTCGGCAACCCCCACGACAGCGCTACTCCAGATGTTGAGGTCATCGTACCGGCCGCCCACACCGACCTGCTGCCACGTGTACCCTGGCTCGCCCGTCGCTCCTACAGATTGAATAGCCGGTGAAGTGTTGGCAAAGCGGCCACTTCAGCGGGTAGCAGCCGGGCTGTGAGAGGTTGATCGAACCTTATCAGTTGGAGGAAGGAGAAACCGTAACAAGGTTTCCACAGGTGAACCTCCGGAAGGACCATCGACACGTGGACGACCGACTTCCTGCCACGTCAGCGCCTCCTTCCCCATCTGGCTCCCCTCTTTCCCCCCTCTTTCCCCCCCCGGTTCCACTGCCATCTCCCGATCTCCCCCATTGCTGCCCACCCCGTTCCCCCCCTTCCGATCGCGTGCACGTACACGTGCACCTTCCCCCCCCCTCCCCCCCAACTCCAATCTCTCACCCGCGATTCCCCGACTCCCCCTCCTTACACCCCGATCCCGACTCTCCCCAGCTACTCCGCTACTCCGCGATCCCAACACCCGACCTTCTCCCACCACGAGTGCCACCATCCCGACTCCCCCTACCCTTCCCACTCCCTTTCCCAATCTCGATCCCATCCCCGATTCTCTTCCGATCCCACCCCCGACCCAATCCCGACACGTTCCAGCCTCACTGGCACCCCATACCCAACTCTGCCTGCATCGCGCTTAATCGCGATAACGATCCCCTTCCCCCCACCACCTCCATCTCGACTTTGAACCCGCCTCTTCCCCGACTTTCCCCAACCTCTCCTCGATTCCCCCCC